ATTATTATTATTATTATTATTATTATTATTATTATTGTTATTTTTTACTGATGATGAAAATCATTCGTGTGAATAGAGAACTTCAATCCCCAAAACACATACAAGGACTTTCAAGGACAAGTGTAATGTTTGGCTGTTTTTCAAACTTTCCAGGGCCTTGAAATCATTTTTTCAAATTCACAAACTTTCAAGGATTTCAAGGACCCGTGGGAACCCTGCATGGTGCACCAGAAACGTCTCACAAGATGTCCTGTCTGATATCTGAATGCTGGCGAGTGAAATCTGTTGGTKTGGTGTCTTTGTGGTGTGGCTGTACACCACACACTGTACGACCAAACCTGGTATACAGTATCTATGATTTATCAGCATCATCATGTCTGCACTCTCTCCGGTTTTGAAAATCAACCAACGATTTTAAAAATCTCGCCGTGTGAACCAGACATCACTGTGAACTGGCCGGTTTGGACTGATATCTATTGAGGTCTGAGTAATGACCCATTTTGCTGGACTCACTCACCGTAATCTTTTTTACAGTACTTCTTCATGGTGATCTTCATTTTACCCTTGGAAGCTTTACAGTGAGATTCACAATCTGGGGATGAAAATAAACGGAAATAGAAAAACTGAGGTTAATGAGGCTCATCTCATTGTGTAGTTTACAAAATATCTACTAAATCTGCKCCACCATGTTTGAGCCTGCAGGGCCTTCATGATGCGGTCAAAGAGAAGCTGTGAAACAGATGAAGGCTTACAGAGACCCTCCAGTGTCAGTCAGCATGCTCCTTCTATACGTTTCCCATGTTTAGTTTTTTATTCAGCCTGCTCCCTGTTCAGTGTTGTTGCATGTATTGTGCGAACAACTGAGGTCACTCCTCTGAAAACAAAGAGTGTGACGAAGGGGAAAATTGAACTGTCTAAAAATGAGCAGCCCGCTGTGAGACAGTAACTGTCCTGAGAAGTCAGGCTCACRGAGTTGTACCTGCGTTTGTCCTCTGATGGCTTTTATGTGGCGCTGTCACTGAGCCAGGTACTTTTTGCAATTAGGAGGCTGACGGTGAGACCCGGGGCCAAACTGAAAATTGAAATCATTTGTTCCCTGCACTTTTCACCGACGGACACAAATTGGAAGCAGACCGTCTCCAAGTGCACCCCCACTCCGCCTCTCCCAGAGCAATGAGCAGTGTGCATTTTTTATTCTTGCTTTTTTTCTGGGCAGTGGGGGTGGGAAAGCTGGTGGGGCAGTCTGAAGAGAGAAACGAGATTGGGGTGAGGGGCAGTTTGGAGAGAGACTGGAGGAGGGGGGGGGACCTTTCAGCTTGCCTGAATATGGACAAACTTCATTATTTCTTCCAGCCTTCTGTCCAGTCTTCCCCTTTCTTCCCCATTATACTCCGTGTGAATGAGGTTGCCTAGGTAATGATGGCGAAAGAAAAAAACGCCCCTCTCACGAGAAAAAAAATGAGAGAAAGAGAGAGAGAGGGAAAGAAAAAGTGTTTTGGGACGTGAGATGAGGATCGAATTCATGTATGTGGAGAAGTGTTTCTGTCGGAATGCCTGGCTCCTTTCTGAGGCGGCGGGAGGAACGAGAAAAGAGGAAATCCTAAAGTAAATAAATGTGACCAGTCCATATCAAGCCCATTTTATGTKCATGTAAATGGGGTGGCGAGGACGGGAAAGGGAGCTCTTTACTTCCCACTGGCCCCTGGGGGCCTTCATCGGGCTTACCCTTTAATAGACTATGTTGCCCATTAGCCCCTTAGCGTCGTTGCTGCAGCGCTCTGATCCTCCAACGGCTCTCATTCAGGTTCGCGCTCCCGCTGTGAGGACAAACGCCCCCTTTGTGTGCCACRGTCATTCTGCCGAGTCCCCGGAGCCCACACGGCTCCTAATTTGGAGGGTGGTGTCTCTTTGGAGTTTCTGACAGACATCCAAACTCTTCACCGCCCCTGGAGTCACTTTAACAGGAAGTGGGACTCGCAACAAAGCTCGGTAAAGTCATCGGCGCCACTCTATGCAGACACTGATCGATGACCAGAGTTAACATAACCCTAACCCTTCTAAAACCAAACAGATAATAAAACTAATTTACAAACTAKTACTGTAAATTAATAGCAAAGAGCATCCAGCTAAGCATATAAAGTCAGCGCCGCGACAAGGATCCTCTTGTCGGAACACAGCCCAGCGGGGCTCCTCTGCTGGCACAGCGTGGCCTTGATTGAAATACAAACTGGTGCAAATGAAGCATGTAATCAGATTAGGGCTGGAACTCTGGGGAGGCTGCAGGGCAGGCTGGGAATACAGGCGAAGAGGCCGTGGGGAGCACTGGCAAAATATCTGGAGTTTACATCAGCRGCAGGCTGATCTCACCGACATGTGTTGAGTTTAGGGGTGTGGAAAAAAAACATGCTTGTGCTTGAAATACACCCACAAAAAGAATAACTGTTTATTTTAGTGCGCAAAGATTACAAAACACTGAAATCCTGTTATATGGCAGGAATAAATGAAGTTAAATGTCATCACATCGAAACGAGGACTAAGTCCAAAAGTGGTACATGGAGAAATAGGCAAATATAGTGTTTTGACTTAAACGTTAACAAAAATTGCATTTTGTCAAAATATAATGAATAAAAGCCTTATCAATGAATCATTTGAATGAACTGTCTGAAATATAATTATAAAACAAAAATTTGAAGCACTTTTTTGAGAGTGACAACAAAAAAACTGATTTTTTTTTGAAAAAAAAAACAAAACAAAAAAACTGATTTTGAGGAAAAACGTCTTAAAGTTTTTGAGATTTTCCCTGTTAGCTAGCAAAGTGTTGTTTCTTTTTAGCTGGGAAATCTCAATATTCAAATATAATTTGAGGTTTCCTCTTTATAAGTACATCAAAAATTCCTCATTAAAATGACGTAAAATTAGGATTCAGACAAAATATTTATGTTTTATTGTAACCAACAAGACAAATTAAGTCATATATACTGTATGGATTTAATTTTGATATCAGAATGATCCAGGTATCAAAATGTAGCTTTTAAAGCCAAGAATCTGAAAATGTAATTAGGTCATTTTGACCAAATTTGACTTAATCCTCATTTTGATATGATGGGTCACAAATATGTTTTGTAGTGTTTTAAATGAATAAAAATAACCTCCTGGTTACTCACCAGATGGCTCCTCGTAGCTGTTATAAGTAGAAGTTGGAGATGCGACTGGGATTTCTGTATAAGACAGGAAAAACACAMAATTTTAATTTGTTTCGCTACATTAAAGAGAAAAAAGCTGTCAGTTTTAAAGAAAGCTWAGAGATCAGCATTGTAAAAAAAACTCTTTATTTCTAAGTTTCCCATGAATGTCAGTGCCCCTGCTGCAGGTACAGCAGTTCTGCTCTTGTTCACTTTAAAGCCGGCGAGCAGTTAGATATAATATAAATGTAATAATGCACCAACAAAAGCATAAGATCGTCATCTGAAATGAAACTATCATGCCTTAAAGGAATGCATGCTCCCCACTGCCTTATTCGCCAAAGTTTATTCCTCAAATTGTCCCTTAACTTTATGATACAAATTGTCCCTGGAAGGAAAAATGTCCGTCTTACAAAACTGCTCAGAAAAACTATTTATTCAGTTTTTCGTCCACCGTAAATTACTAGCTCAGCCTGAAATCAAAGTTTGAATTGAAATGTTTTTATTTTATTATTTTGGCACTTTGTGGGTCTATAGTAAGCTCCACGATTATTTTTTTTTAAATAAATAGACAACTTATTTATTTTTKGGGAAAATAGAAAGCATTTTCTTTTATGGAGACATGAAAATTGATTTTTTGACATTTCATTAAAATTTCCAGTCTGGAGATTTTGGAAGATCTAACACCCCGCACCCCATCACCCAGCTGTCAGAAACCAGGGGTGGAGGCAGAGGGGTGGCTGGGGTGGTACTTGCCACTACTAAAATCTGATTGGCCACCCAAGGTGCAACCCCAGTTGATTGACAAGTCACTACATGTAGCATTGAAAGATGAGTAATTAGAGTAAAAGAGGGTACAAAAGTACAGATTTGTATATAATTTCAGTAAAGTGACAAACAAATAATTTGTCAAAATTCAAAACAACTGGATTTGAAATCAGAAAAAAATCTGTCTACCAAATCTTGTAGGCTGTTGGCCATGAGGTTCTTTATTATTATTTTATATATTATTACTTTTTTTTACTTTGCTCATGCACATCAAATGTGTGTTTAGTTTTTTACTTKTGCTAAACCATATTGACCATGGCCTCATTTGAGGACTTCAGCCTGCACACTTGATGATCTACTGTTTTGCACCAAATCTTTACTCAAGCACAACACAAGTGTATTTTTGCTCTTTACGTCGAAGTAAAAAATTTTGTCCAATGAGATTCGACAGTAAAATGCAGCCGCAAACGTATATTAGCTTCCCTTATTTGTTAAAGTAGAGCACCACCTACTGAGCTAAGTTTGGGGATAAGGATAAAAAAACGTACTGTACATGAAAGAAAATTGTTCTTTCATTATATTAATATATTTGGGTTTAAAAATTTATTTATTTATAATGGTTTTCAATAAAGGGTAGTAAAGGGTGAGTAAAGTTTATGGGTGCATTTGAAATAATTCAAAGTAAGTAAATAAATAAATAAATAAATAAATAAATAAATAAATAAATAAATAAATAAGCATGGGGATGATTTTTTCCCCCAAAAGACCATTTGAGAGGTAATTAAAGATATCATGTGGTCTGTTAGGGACTCTCAGCTACCACCATACCAAATTTTAGATCCATATCTGTAAAACACATTGAGTAGTAGTTATTTTTGCATTTTCTTTGTTAGTTGTGGTGGCCATCTTGAATTGGGTTGACTCCAAGCTTTTTTCCTCTACTTTGAGAGTTTTAGAAAAATCAAATATTTGGTTCAAGAGGTAGTTTGCTAACAAACTAATGAATGCATACATAAAGCCAATTGCATGGTCCTCTGCCTGTCATGGCAGCACATACAAATTATAAGAGTTTTGTCCATTCTTATTAAATGAATTTCACCCCAGAGTTAGTAAAAAAAATCCTCTTTTACGCAGATGACTCTTCTTTATGTTTCTTATTGAAGTCCTTCTCCTTACTGACCCTCTAAGTTTTAGATGTCCCTTCGATTCTTGGTCCTCAAAGAGCGTCCAGTTTTCCCAAATGAAATCTATCAGGACTACAACAGTGTGAACAGCTGCTAACATGACATGTTATCTTATCTCCTCCTGCCAGCCAGCTACTTGATGCTCGCAGTTAAAGCAGCTACTAGTGACTGATTTCTGCTTCTGTGAGGTTTCTGTCGTTTTACTGCAGAAAGCCTGGAATCTGCAGGCTGTAGATACAGCCAATAAACACATCAGCCATCGTTCCCTGAGACTCATTTGGGGAGATTTATCATGAGACGAGGGCCGTTAGCGGCGTTGAAGGCAAACAGGGTTGTGTTAGTAATGGTCTGTTTGTCCAGACTCATGTTTAAACAGCCAAATATCCAAACTAAAAAATGATTGCAACCCAAATAAAGAGCGAGTGTATTTGTGCGTAACATGTTCATGAAGGTCCTACAACTGTGGTCAAAAGCTCACAATGTCTTGTTAATTTGGATCTTTTAATGATTTCTTTGAAGTGTTTTTTTCCAAACCTGGAACTGTAAACAGCTGGAACACCAGAGCATCTGTCCACAATCAGACTAAGAGGGTGCTGATCAGGAAAGAAGACCCTCCTGACACCTGTATGCAGCTGCTCACAGGTACAAGCTGAATGTATTCTGGATAAAAGTTTTATGGTCAGACAAGTTCAAGATTGAGCTGTTTGGCCACAGTAGTTTCCATCCAATTCTAATTCAAATTCTGAACAAATTTTTAAAATTTCGTAAAAAGGAAAAAACGAATACAGTAAATGCGAATCAGACGTGTTTCCACCAACTGGCTTTACCTCCTTGAGTCCTGAGCGTTTGCAATTTAATTTTTCTCTAGCTATTTAAGATTAGTAAAACCTCATGAAAATAAAAACAAACATTGTTTTTAAGCAATTAGAAGTTAAATATATTTTCTATTTTAAATTAAAAATTAAATCTAACACCTAGCCTCCCTGAATAAAGACAACTGGTCTAAAACTAAAACAATGTATTCATCATTAGGATGCAGCATTTTGGGTGGTCATATAGCATTTTTTATAAATGTAAATTTAAGAGTGAATAAGCTTAAATAAGTTGAGCAGTGACACTGCTTTTCTCAATAAAATATAAAAAAAAAAACACTAAAGTAGATCCATTTATATCAGAAGGTGACTGCCTAACTCATGTATTGCTGAACTCAATATGACAACAATAATTTAACAAATCTTCTGAAATTTTGTTCTGTATTTTAGTGCCACCCCTGGATTTTCAGTGGCCCCACAAATTAAAACATTTCTGGAGGTTTCGCTGATGGTAGTGGAGACGGTGGTCCTTACTGATGCATGGAGCGATGGGGGAGCGGCTCTGCTGGTAGCCCTTGGCGCAGCGGTTGCAGGTGATCCCGGCCACTCCGTCCTTGCAGGGACACTGACCCGTCGTCTGGTTGCACGTCTTCCCTGCTGCTCCGACAGGGTGGCAGTCGCACGCTGTCAGAGGAGCGAGATACACAAGTAAACAACCTTTGACTTGCATGAGTGGATTACAAAACCCGAACTAAACAAAATATCAGGTTACAAATGAGTACAGTGTGTGAGTCTAAATCCTCCATACTGTGGAAGAGTAATGTCAGCTAAGACACAGGCTGCATTTTCATTTTTTTCAGTCACAGATAAAGAACGGAGCCTCACACCAACTTCAAAACCTCCATCAAATTAGCCCCCACTCCTCCACCCGTTCTGACTGAAAGTTTCTTTATTACTCTCTGGAAGGCACGCAGAAGAAGTAAATTACACAATAAATTACAGAATTACACTTTCACCACAAATTGCATGTGGGCGTGTGTGCCGCCAGAGTTTTTGTATATTCTGCTCTTTTGTGATCAGACGTGCTGCCGGCGTTTCAGATTCAGTTTCAAACATAAAGTCGTTTTGGCATCAAGCTGTCAGTGAATAGTTCCTGAAAAATGTTTCCCATTAATGGACGAGTGGAGCGCACTTCAAAGTCTGTTTTAGGCTCTTAGTTGGGAGGATCACAGGGTAATGTTGAATGTGTGTTATTTGAGTATTTTATCATAAAGCAGGTGTTTGAAGTTAAAGTCCAGCCTTTCTATTAGACCTGCATATGTTATAAAAGCAGCAAAATAATCTGAAATGTGCTCCAAGTGATCCAGCAGATGCAGGAGGAGCTTCCAGCTGAACATAATGAAAGGCTTTTTCTTCTGCAGGAACATCTAACTTCTTACTCTGACTTGTATAAAAGGACCTTGGGCCAAGTGTGTGTGTTAAATACAAAACCAGTCGCAGCATGTTTTAGTGAGTCAGGTGACTTCCTTACAGATTATATGTTCCTTCCAAACTCTAATACAGACCTTAAAATTTCATTGAACAACTAAACATGTGATGAGAAGTGTTTTTTGGACCACCTTTGTTTTCCTCTTGACACTAGTTTAAATACACCATATTGCCAAAAGTCTTTGCTCACCCATTCAAATGACTGCACCAGTGYACAAAGCAAGGTCCATATAGACATGGATGACAGAGTCTGGTGTGGATGAACTTGACTGGTCCGCACAGAGTCCTGACCTCAACCTGATAGAACAACTTTGGGATGAATTAGAGCAGAGACTGAGAGCCAGACCTTCTGTCCAACATCAGTATATGACCACAAATGTGCTTCTGGAAGAACGGTCAAAAATCCCCATAAACACACTCCTAAACCTTGTGGACAGCCTTCAGAAGAGTTGAAGTTCTAGCTGCAAAGGGAGGACCAACTTCATATTGAACCCTATGGATTAGGAATGGGTTCACTTAAGCTCATATGTGAGTCAAGGCAGGTGAGCAAATACTTTTGGCAATATAGTGTATGTTAGTAATAAAATGTTTGCTTTGGTACATTTTTACCGCAGGTGTCAGCTTTAATCACAGGTTGTATACAAACTGTAAAMGTAGCCTCCAGGTCTGAGAAGTGAAGCCAATGAACAAGCGTTTTAAAATGACAAACAGGGTTTTTGTAACGTGTTGCAGGCGTCAAATTCAAAATGAGTGAGTATTTGCAAAAAACCAGTAAAGTTTGAACATTAAATATATTATGTTTGCAGTGAATTCAGATAAGTATAGGTTGAAAAGGTTTAGCAAATCATCGTTTTCTGTTTTTATTTATGTTTTACACAACGCCCTAACTTCATTGGAAATGAGGTTGTAAAATTGCTTGGTAAAAGACTCCATTTGCTTTACTCTAGGCTTAGCAAGATTTCTGAAACAACAAAAGAAAATATTACAAGAATGTTTCCATTAATGGTTAGTCATCAGCCAGCAGATGTCAGTTCTACTGTTTTAACTCGCAGGGAGTCTGCAGACCTGTGTGGTTGCAGAGGGGTTTAGGGATAGCACAGTTCAGTGAACCATTTACCAGCTCCATCTCTCTGGACTCACCCCATGCCTGAAACTGCCAAAACTTAGCTGGGACAGGAGGGTAGGAAGAAGAAAAAGAAGAAAAAAAAAAGAGCAGCCAGTTAGAAGTTGGAGGCGAGCGCTGTGAGCCGTGTTTACACTGCGGTTGATGAGGGGTGAAGTTGTTAATCTGGGAATTAAAGCGTGAGACATTCCACATTGCCACAGGAGATGTTTGCACCGCGTAGAATGAAATACCCTTCTGTTTTTTTTTTACCCTTCGACTATTAAAACTGTTCAGAGGACATTTGCTGAGATTTGAGGTGTTTAAAGGGGGTGAACTGGGAGGGACGAATGCAGGTTTCCTCCTGGCCAGGTTGGCACCACTTTGGATTTCCTGTCCAACAACAGCAGAGTGAGATGGTTGGCTGATCTGAACAATAAATACRGTGGTTTTTAACTGATGTCACTCTGAGAAGAAAGGCAGTAATCAGGCTGTTTGGATTAAATCTCAGAGCAGTGAAAGGAGGTATGTGAGAGGTGGGGGCAAGGTGTTACAGATCAGCCTGTTTGGAAAGATCAGAGGTGTAAGGATGTTGTCAAACTAACCTGATTTTCACTCTGAAAGCTCTGGAATGGAACCACTCCCAAGTATAGATGATACAAATGTCGCAACGTTGCTGCAAATTAGCATTTGTCATGTTTTAGGCAGAGTGCAGATGATCTGTCAAGCTTGTATTCAGTAAAATGCTTACAAAGCAATCTGATCTATTACATAATATTTGCCTGTTTTTCCTCTCCAATAAAGGTTGAAGACAGAGCCGGCTCTTGGCATAGGCGAACTAGGTGGTCGCCTAGAGCGCCATCTGCTGGAGGGGGCGCCGAACTGCAGAAGAAAAAAAGTAATATTTGTAATCCCTGGTTGTAACTCTGCTCAGCGCCCCTTTCAGTTAGCTTTGTCTTAAAAAACAATAATGAAGTATTACAGTAAAAATAAACTACTACTAATCCTGCTGACATCATTCTGACACAGTGAGGACTGAGTTTGTCAGCTGAGGACCTTATGAGGTAAAATCAGACTTATATTTTCCA